CAGTCCACCATGGCGGGGAAGGCATGGTGGCAGGAGCATGAGGCAGCTGGTCACACAGTTGCTATAATCAGGAAGCAGAAAGGGATGGATGACGGTGCTCAAGCCTTTTCTCCTTACGCAGCCCAGGCCCCCAGACCGTGGCCTGGTCCTTCCCATATTTAGGGTGGGTCTTCCTACTCCAGTTAACTCAATCCAGACCCCCCAGATTTTGTCTCCTAGACGATTCTAGATTCTGTGATGATCAATATTGATTGCCAACCTGCCAGGCTCTAGAATCACATAAGCGACATACTTCTGGGCATGTCTGTGAGCGACTGTCTAGATGAGGTTAACGGAAGTGAGAAGACCCATCCTGAGCATGGGTAACTCCATCCCATGGACTGGGGTCCTGGACTGAATAAAGGTGAGAAATCACACTAAGCAACAGTACTCATCTCTCTCCAGTTCCCATCCCTTCCCCTCCATGATAGACTGAATCCTCATACTGTGAGCCCAAATACATTCTCCCTTTCTTAAGTTGCTTTTGTTAGGCATTTGGTCTGCAGCATCAAGAGAATCAATTAATAATCCCATAAAGACCTAAAACCTCTCCCACTAGAGTCCAGCTTTCCACAGTTCCAGCTCCCACCACCGGCCAGCACCACCTGGGAGGGAACATTCCAGAACCAATCTGTAGCGGAACTGTTGTCAGTCATCCCTACCTATTTCAGAGCATTTCACACTATATATAGAGAAAGCACCGGTTATTTCTGGTAAGAACCGGGTGTCACAAGAGCTTCCTTTAGAGATGCTGGGAAGGAGCGTTCCCAGTGGTTTGCAGCCTGACCCCTCTATTTTCAATCCCACTTCCCTTAAAAGGGATTACTCACTGATCAAAGTAGGAAATGGGATTTGAAATGCCATTGATTCTTTGTGGCCTGGTCCTTTCTCTCTGTCTCCATCCCCCCCAACCCTTTCTTTCTTTCCATTGCATTTCTTTGTTCCCGGGGTGAGGCATATACCCAGGGAGTTAGAAGTTGAATACTTTTGTTGAGGATGGAACAGTAAGAAATTAAAAAGAGCTAAAAGGCAGATCTGAACGATGCAGATGGCTTAGAGTAGTTGCAGGCTTTTGGATGTCCTCATTCCAATTAATACTCTCTCCAGCCTTAAGGTAAGATCTTAAAGTGGGTAATAAGATCCCTCAAATCCCACTGTTTTGAAAGAATCCTTATTGTCTAATTCCCTCTCGCTTTTCAGTAATGCTTTCAAGGGGTTTCAAAGCCAGGGTCCTGAAAATGCAAGACTCCCTCCCTTCAGCCTGGGAAATAAGTCAAAATAATTGATTCTTCAGGGTCCCTTAATTGGCCAGGAATCCAAAAAGACTGAGACCCATTTGTTATATAAATTTTAGGATGAAAAGAGCTGAAGGCATAGTTAAGATCTGAGTCAGGTGGGAAAAGAATGTCAAGAATTATCTCTGTGTGTCTATAGCAGAAATTTTAAACAGACCCTGGGCATGCTGATGGATTATTTTGTGAAGTCCCCAGTGTATTTAACCTGGGCAGTGGCTGGCTGTTTAAATGCTATGACACCATTATGCTGGGTTCCAACTTGTGTTGGGAGTGAGCACTCTGTAGTCCAAGGGCTGACACTGCATGTGACGGCTGGGCCGTCTTTCATTCACCCTGGAGAGGAGCTCGATTTAGGAAGAATGGGAAATGAACGTCTGCATGACGTGTCATTGTTAGAGTGGGAGACAGAGTCTGGTCTAGGGCTTCCTACATATGCAAGGATGGCAGTGAACTTTGATCCCCCTGCCACCTCCTCCGAAGTGTTGGGATTAAAGGTGTGTTGAGGTTATAGGTATGTGACACCGTACCCAGTTCGTGCAGCGCTGGACACCCAACCCAGAGCTTCTTTCACGCTAGGCAAGCAACTCTTCTAACTGAGCCACATCCCCAGCACACACATTCATTCTTAAGTCTATATAGTGCAATGGATTCACGGACAAACCGTGTCTATGTTTTTGCTCATGCTCAGCTCTTTGAAACTCAAACGTTACAGGGTGAACATACAGGTAAATCGTCATTTTAAATATGGAGACTGAATTTCTAGTATAAAAAGAGAAAGCTGGTGAAGGCCTGTTCTCTCAGCCACTCAGGAGGCTGGGACAGGAAAACTGCAAGTTTGAGACCTCCTTGGTGAGGTGGGGAAGACCTTGTCGAAAAAGAAAGAGTAAGAAGAATGGTGGAGTATGGTTCAGTGGAAAATGCCTTCCTAGCATTCATCAGTCAGGCTGTGAGGCATGGCTCAGAGGTAGACCATGGTATCTTTTTAGATTTCCCTGTGAGGGCTTAAGGGTATTGCTTAGGGATAGAATGCTGTCCTGGCTAGTTTTGAATCAATTTGACACAAGCTATCTGAAAATGGGGAACTGTAATTGAGAAAATGACTCTAAGATTCAGCTGTAAGGCATTTTCTTTTTTAGTGATCAGTAGGGAAAGGCCCAGCCCAGTGTAGATGGTTCCATCCCTGGGCTGTTGGTCTTGGGTTCTATAAGGAAGCAGACTGAGCAAGTCATGGTATCAAGCCAGTAAGCAGCTCCCTCCATGGCCTCTGCATCAGCTCCTGCCTCCAGGTTCCTGCCCTTATACCCTTCAGTGATGGACTAAAATGTGAAAGTATAAGCCAAATAAACTCTTTCCTTCCCAACCTGTTTTTTTGGTCATGGTGTTTCCTCATAGGAACAGAAACTCTAAGTAAGACAAATGTCTCCCCAATTCCCTCAGTGAAGGGTTAGGGTGTTGCTCAGTGATGAATGCCTGACTTCTGAATAACATTTCAACTCTCCTTTTACATTTTTTCCTTCTGAGACAAGCTCTCCTTCATTTGTCTAGGCTGGCCTTGAACTCACTGTAGCCCCATCAGGTCTTGATCTTGGGATCCTTCTTTTGTTCAAGTCACTGGGATGGCAGGCTTATGTCCAGAGGGCCAGCTTTGTTCACATCAACCTCAATTGCGTTTTCTGGAGTCTCATAGCTTAAATCTGTCTCCTTTCCTTTCCTTTCTTTCAAACATTCGAGATGGGGGTCTTATTCCTTCCCACCCTGTCATATTTGTTTCCTTACCTCCAATATATTTCTGTTGTTTTAAAATTTTGATTTTGCAGTTGTGTATTTGCCTTGTGGATTGGGAGGCGCAGGCATGTCTGTGTAGAGGTCAGAGGACAGCTTGCTGGAGTTGGTTTTTTCCTTCCACCCCTTGGGCTCTAGGGATAGAGTTTAGGCCATTAGATTTGGCACCAAGCACCCTGACCCACTAAGCCATCTCCCCAGTCCCCCTCTCCTCCTGTCTTTTTCCCTTTCTGCCTTCTCTTTTCTAATTCCTAAACTGACTTTTAATTATTCCTTCTTTTTTTGAAGCAAAGGATTTCCTTGTGTTTTTAACTGCTGTATGTAGGACAGGAATCTGCTCATTGCTCACTGCTGGATGATAAGGAACACCATTCCATGCCCCCCCCCTTTTCCAAACTATACCTTTAGTCTCCATTACGTCTTATCTCACTGGTGACTTTTTTTCTTTCCTAACTGTGTGCCTAGATTTCATTAGCTAATTTACTTTAGGGTGGGTCCCACTTCATCCAAACTCTTTCAAACGCACCTATTTTAGAAATGGGCCACCCATACCCTTAGGGTTGGAGCCAGGACCAGAGTAATGAAATTATCTGTGTGCATCAGGGATCCGAGAGCCTTCCACATTGTTCTCACGTACACCAGAAGATTGAGGTGGGGTGGGTTCCAATTAGTGAAGGACTATTTATAATATTTCTCGAAAGCCACTGTGCCTTTTCCAGAGGGGAATTTTTTTTATTAACAAATGAAGTATGCTAAAGACCTCTTTGTGGTTCAAAAGAAAAGAATAGATTATTACTTGAGAAGTGCATATTGCACAGTTGTATGTGTATGCCACCAAAGGCATTATCAAGTCTACAGTTAGGGAGGGATTGCAAAGGTTTACCTTAGAATAGAAGATTAGAAGAATACTAAGTCTAGATCAAGGCTCTCCCTTCTTTCTTTTTTTTTTTTTTCTTTTTAAAGATTGATTTACTGGACAGTGGTGGTACATGCCTTTAATCCCAGCACTCGGGAGGCAGAGACAGGCAGATCTCTGTGAGTTCAAGACCAGCCTTGTCTACACGAGCTAGTTCCAGGACAGCCTCCAAAGAAACCCTGACTCGAAAAACCCAAAGATTGACTTATTTTTATCATATGCACATGGGTGTTTTGTCTGCAAATATGTGCAAGTACCATGTGGGTTCTGGTTACTCAGAGGCCAGAAGAGGGTATGGGATCCTCTGGAACTGGAGTTAGAGACAGCTGTAAACTTCCATGTAGTGCTAGGAACTCAACCTCTGTCCTCCGAAAGAGCAACCAGTGCTTTTAAACACCGAGCCATCTCTCCAGCCCAAGGCTCTCCCGTACTGCACATGATATTTCCATGCAATTCCCTCTTAACATTCAGACCTAGAATTCAATCAATGGGGGATGGAGAGATGACTCCATGTTAAGAACATGAGATACTCTTGTAGAGGATGAGACTTCAATCCCCAACATCTATGTTGGATGGCTCATGAATGCCTGTGACTCTATCCAGTCCTGCACCCTCTCCTGGTCTTCAAAGGAACCTGCACTCACGTGCACATGTCAAACACAAATAAAAATAAAATCTTCAATCAATAACTTGCCTGGGAAGGTTTATGAATGGGTTGAAATATTGAAAGTATTGATTGCACCAGGGATTTTTCTCATTCATAATAGTCAGAATTATTCTGTGTGTGTGTGTTTAGAAAAGAAGGAGAAAGAGAAGGAAGCCTACAGGTGAAGGTGAGGAAGAGTAGAAAAATGTAATTGTCAAATCTTTTCAAGAAAGTAATGTATTTAGAGATACTTAGATTGTGTTTCAAAAATAGACCTGGATTAGTTTGACTTATGACTTTTGTCATTTGTTCCTCTTTCTAGACATCAGAATTTACACATAATTCAGTTCTCCAGTATTCATGAGAATCTCATAGATGGTAAGCTGCAATCCATTTTTTACACGAACATGTAATTATGACTCCTGTCCTAATAAGCTTAATTGCTCAGTTGACATAGCCTAGAATCACCTGATAAGCGAGTCCTAACTGAGGAATTGTCCAGATCAAACTGGCCTGTGTGCATGTCTTTGGGTATTGTCTTGATTGTTAATTGATGCAGGAGGGCCCATCCCACTGGGGACAGCACTATTCCCTAGGCATGTAGTACTGGCTTTTTAAAGAATGCTAATAATGAGCCCTCAAGTGAGCCAGAAAACAGCATTCTTCCATGGTTTCTAGTTCAGGTTCCTGCCTTGACTTCCATTTGCTGTTTTGATGAAATACCTTGGCAAAAGCAACTTAAAGGAGAGAGAGTTTGTTTTGGATTACAGTGAAAGGGTAAAGCTGTCGCACCTGCTGTGTAGCCTGCATCCGAGAATGTAGCCAGGTGGTCGGGATAGATGACACAGAGACCGGTCGGTTGCTTTAAGAAAACTTTATGCTTCCCAAGTCAGCTTAGGAGAACTCCCCAAGAAAAAACGCTTCCCTTTTTAAGGACTTCTGCCATCCATCTACATACAATTCTCCAACAACTTTCCCAGACTTCTCACCCTCCTGGCTGGTGGTTTAATCTCTGGCCCCAGAATCGGGGAGACACAGCAGGGAGCAGGAAGAAGCATCTAGCCGTAGGGGGTGTCAAAGTCATGGTGTTTCAGTGAGTGAGCCCTTATCTGAGCCCTATCAAGAGCTTTATAGCACTGAATTGTTTTCAGTAAACATTATCTCACAGCTGCCTGCTCCCAGGCCGAAGGGGAAGTGGGTCTCTGTTCAAGGTCTGGTGTCCTCACATAAAGCCATGATGGGGAAGGTTAGGCATTGGGTGCTTGGTATAGCTGGTCTCGTTGTAGCCACTAAAAAAGCTGGAAACAAAGAATTCTTGTGGTTATATCACTTTTCTCCCTTTCTCCAGTTCAGGGTCTCAGCCCAGGGAATGATGGTGGATAAGTCTTCTTATTTCAATTAACCTAATCAAGAGAGCCCACCATGGCTTCCTCAGAGCTCTGTCTCTCAGGTAATTCTAGATCTCATCAAGTTGACAATTGAGATTAGCCATCACAAGTAGGACCTGTTGTTGGACAGTTGAAGGAAACATGGATAGGTACAGATTCATCCCATGTGGTCATAAGATGACACAATTGTGCACATTTCAACTAAAGTTGCATGTGATGGTTGGTTGTTTGATGTCTTGGATATATATCAGTTTCCAATTCAGGGGTGGGAAATGGAAGAGAAACAATTTTCACAGAGGAAACTATGAAGGTTTTTCTTTAAAAATTCTGTTTAGGGCTGGGAAGATTACTCAGCAGGATATCACTTGCCATACTAGTGTGAGAACCTGATTTGGAATTCTCAGAACCCATGTAAAAGCCATATATGTAACATGTGGCTGTAATTCACTCTTATGGTGAAATGGGAAGCAAGGCAGGAGAATCCTGACTTCCCACACATGTACTGTCACACAGACACACACACACACACACACACACACACACACACACACACAGATACACGCAGATACATGCAGACACACACAGACAACACACAGACACACACACACAGATACATATACATACATTACATTTATTTAATGGTTATGAGAAAGATAGCTGTTATTCAAGAACATGTATTATAAAATACCATTTATTCATATATTTGATTTATTTTACATGATTTTTGAGATAGCATCTCATCATGTAGCCCAGGCTGACACTAAAATTGCAGTTTTCCTGCTTCAGGCTCCCATGTGTTGTTGGCATGACAGGCATTTACCATCATATCCGAATATGAAAGATTTTTACATTGACTAACTGCACATCAAAATATGTGCTCACTGTTAACCAACTAAGTAAGAATGATATGTGTCTTAGCTTTAATCATCATAGAATCATTTGAGAATGCCTTGATTGAGGAACTGACTAGATTAAACTGTCCATAGGTATGTTTTGGGAGGTTTCATTGATTTTTAATTGATATGGAAGAGTTTAGCACATTAGTCCCGAGATGCATAAGAAAGCTAACCAGGTATGAGAATTGGAGAAAGCTGGCAAATAACATTCCTCCATAGTTTCTGACGCAAGTTCTTGCCTTGAATTCATGCCTAGATTTCCCCTACTGATGGACTGTTACATGGAAGTATAAACCAAATTAGAAATTTCCACCCCTAAGTTAGTTTTGGTTAGAGTTTTATCACAGCAACAGGAAGGAAACTAGAGTAGCATACAAATAAATTCATAACCCAGAACACTGTTTGTGATGAAAATTGATTAGCAGTTATGATTTTGGTAGGACATGGCAGGATTATTATAAAATACAACATCAATATTTCTTCATAATATATACAGTGACAAGTATTGGGGGTCCAGCTAATGAGTAGCCTTATAAATCTAAAGGGGCTACCTTGTTTTCAATGGATCGATAATTGACTCACAAGTGTTTGCTTCCTGGACTTCATTAATTAATTTATGTGTTGCTGAGAGCAAGACCTAACCAAAGCAACTTAAGGAAGAGAGAATTTCTCTTGCCTCACAGTTAGAGAGTACAGTTGTTCATGGTGGGGAAGGTGTGGCTGCAGGAGCATGAGGCGGCTGGTCACAGCACATCCCAGTCAGGAAGCAGAGAGAGAGATGGACGCTGGTGCTCAGCTCACTCCCTCCTTTTTATTCATGGAATGGTGCTGCCCACAAGCAGTTAACCAGGTCCCGCAACTCCCTCATAGACACGCCCAGAGGTGTGTCTATTCTGTGCCTGCATAACCTATCAACTGTACAATCAGTATCCACCACCATATAGTCCCACCCCTTCATATGATTGACACTTAGCTAACAAGTCCATCTCATTTTCTTCCTGCAATCCTAACAGTGCCTGCGTTGGTTAGTTTTCTAGTTGCTGTGACAGAATGCCAGGCAGAAGCAGCCAAAAGTAGAATGAATTAGTTTTGGCTCACACAGTTGCAGGAAAATGGTTCCATCAGGGTCTGGAGGGAGGCACAGCAGCTGGAATGATACCATGTGAAATGCAGCTCCTCGTAGCTTGCTGGATTAAGGTACAGTGGTGGAGAGGAAAAGTGGGGGGCAAGTGACTCAGCTAATGGCTTAGTCACTGTTCTACTGCTGTGAAGAGACACCATGGCCAACTGGGTGCTTGCTACAACTTCAGAGGGTGAGTGCATTGTCATTATGGGCAGGGAGCATGGCAGCATGCGGGCAGTCATGGCATTGGAGCAGTAGCTGAGAGCTACACCCTGAATCACAGGCAGCAAAATACACAGACTCCGGGCCTGGTATGGGCTTTGAAATGTCAGAGCCCATCCCCATGCACGTATCTCCTCTGAGAAAGACACACCTACTCTAACTAAGACACACCTCTTAATCCTCCCCAAATAGTTCATCAACTGGGGACTAAGCACGTAAATGTATAAGCCTGTGCGCTGTGTGTGTGTGTGTGTGTGTGTGTGTGTGTGAAGTGTGAGTGTTTGTGCACACATGAGCATTCTCATTCAAATCAGTTGGTAAAGGTACTTTCCACCTAGTCAGATGACTTGAATTTGGTCCCAGAGATCCACACAGGTGGAAAGAAAGAAACAACTCCTGAGAGCTACCCTTTGACCTCACTGCATGTGTATGCGCACACACACACACACACACACACACACACACACAATACAAACAAATAAATGAAAACATAATGCTAACAGAATACAATAATAAAAGAAGCAGAGATCGCAGCCAGTAACAGAAATGGATATCACCTTCAAGGTATATGACCAGCTAGCCACATCTGCTAGGGCAGTGGCTCTCAACCCTCCTGATGCTTCGGCCCTGGAATACAATTCCTCGTGTTGTGGTGACCCCTAACCACAAAGTTATTTTCACTGCTGCTTTACAACACTAATTTTGCTACTGTTATGGATTGCAATGTAAATATCTGATATGCAGGATGTATTTTCATTGTTACAAATTGACCCAAAGAGGTTGGGACCCTGAGAATCACTCTCTCTTTCCTTCCCTCCCTCCCTGTCCCCCCCCCCCTCGCCTTTCTCTTCTCCTTTCTCCATAGACAAATTTCTGCTCTGGTGGTAACCCTTCATACACTGCCCCCTGACTTTTAAGAAAGAGCTCTCTCACCCACAGGAATGTACCAAAGGAAACATCTTCAATATGCTTTCCTTTGACATTTAGAGATTTGCCTGTATGTGGTCTCCCGTGAATAGACAAGGGTAGCACTGTCTGTGAGCCTTTTGCCTGGAGAAACTGAGGAGGCTTTCAACAGACAGACTAGGTGCTGAATTCCTATAATGAGTTCTTTTAAAAGCCCAGCAGATGTGAAAAATGTATTTTTTAAGGCTTCTATTGATTAGGAAGAAAAATTAGACAATTGACAATTGTGCAGGTAGATCACAGAGGGGCATTAATGTCAAGGGGGACACATCAGGATGTCATTTTTTTCATGTAGGTAGGAACAGGGATGTTATGTCTTTTAACATTCAAAAGAATTGACAAGTAGGATTCTCTAAGGACTGAAAGCTTTCTAAAACAAAAAAGAAGGAACATTTGCAAACCAGTGTTTTGTACAAATAGGCAAGAAGGAAGAAAAACCAAGTGAGTGTTTATGGGTATTGGAGAGGGTTGGTACACACCTGTGTGTGCTAGGGAAGCCTAAACTTTGGCAGGTAACATCTTTGTTGTTACCCACCCTCCTTGGGACTCACTGTGTAGACCAGACTGGCCCTGAACTCATAGAAATCCAATTGTCTCTGCCTCCTGAGTGTTGGGATAAAACACCATGACCAGCAATCAATCATTTTAAAATGATTTATTTGTGTGTGTGTGTGTGTGTGTGTACAAGCATGCATGCATGCTCACACATTTGTCCACAGAAGCCAGAAGAGTCTATCAGATTCCCCTGAAGCTGGAGTTATAAGTGGCTGTGAGCTGTCCATCACCAGTGCTGGGAACTGGACTCCGGTGCTCTTTGGTTAAACTCCCTTAACTGCTGAGCCCTCTTGTGTTGGTTAACCCTGATGGCCAACTGGACTGGATTGAGAAGTACCCAGGAGGTGAGTAAGTTTCAACCAGGGTATGAGAGTTTTCAGAGATGAATGGGTCATGATTGACCTGACCTAATCAAGGATTAATCCATCGTTGGATTAAAAGTATGAACAGACTAAAGAGAGGTGACAAAACTTGAAGATGAGTCCAGGAGGAGCTGGCAGGGCACAGCGTGTGTCATTGGTAGGTATGTCTTGTCATGGCCTGGTGGATGGTTCATCTTTGTCGATCAAGCTTAGTATCACCATGGTATCTCTGGGTGTGTCCATGAGGCCTTTTCCAGAAAGACTTGACTGAGAAGAGAAGATGTAACATGAATGTGGGCAGCTTCATTCCATGGGTCTCAGACAGAAGAAAACGGAGACAGTGAGCTGAGCACCAGCATCCATCTCTCTCTGCTCCCTGACTGTGGATGCCACGTGACCAGCTAAGCAAAGCACCTGCCACCATGCCTTCCCCCACCATTATATACTGTACCTCTGAACCATGAGCCAAAATAATTGTATTTGATCATGGATATGACAGAATTATTTTCTCCCTCTCTCTCTCCCTCTCTTTCCTTCCTTTCCTTTGGGAGACAAGGACTCCTGTACCTCAAACTGGCCTCTAACTCACTATGTACCTGAAGATGACAGATCTTCTGATCCTTCTGTCTCCACCTCTCAAATACAGTTTAGGATTACAGACATACACCACTGTGCCCAGGTTAGAGGGTGCTGGGTATGGTACCCAACGTTTCCTGCATGCTAGACAATCACTCTGCCAATCGAGCCACATCCCCAGCCCTTACCCCTTGTTTACCCAGACATCTGTCGATCATGGGATTTGATTGGATGCATACTCATCCCTTAGTATCCATGGTAGGTTAGTTCCAGAACATCCCCTCCACACAGGTTCCAAAGCCTATGGACGCTCAAGACAACTGTATAAAATAGTGCGCTATTTGCATAGAGCTTACACATATC